TCTCCGATTTGCAGCGTTTGGGATAGTTAAGAGGGTGTATTTATAGGTCTAGATGGATCCTTATGTTTTATTTTATTTTTTTGATAATTATATGAATAATAATAAAAATAATAATGTCTATACATAATGATAGGTTGGTAGTTGATGAACATGGCATGTGCATTGCTTCTTGATTTGATTTCCATTGATATTGATGTTTCATTTTTTTACTTACTTAAATGTACTTTGAGTTTTACATATAAATATATGTATATATGTACATAATGTATATGCATTATTTGGTATATCAGATATATCTTATCTGATTTATTTATTTATTTTTATTTCAAATTTTCAAGGTATTACAGTGACACAAGATGTATCCTGGTTCAGAGGTGGTGTTATCCTCTTACATCCAGTCCCAACCTATTTCAGACGGATTTCCACTAAATGAATATCCCATTACAGGTGCCCAATCTACCCTTGCCCCAGGCGTAGATTGTGAGGTTTTTCACAAGGAGTTCGAACACCTATTCCAAGCTACTCAGTCTTCCAAGGGTTTTCACTAATGACATTGACTTGCCAAGATCTACTCATGTCCTTGCCCTTCTCACCTTCTAGATTTGATCACAAAGCCCTCCTGAATGTCTTACACTAGTCTAGTTTACATGGGTGTAAAGCTAAACTACCAATTAATCTAAGCTCTATAGATGTGTATGAATTATGAGCTATTCTAAGAGCTGTACATGAGTGGGATGGTAACCCAAGTGGTGAAGGATAATCAGTTGTTGGATGTGTTCTTGTGAATTGTGATTCCCTTCCATTCCACTTGGTTCCAATGGTATACCATGATTTACCACTTGGTTTGCCACTGTTTTTCCACACTTGGTGTTTCCACACTCCTTCTGTATTTATAGACTTCTGTTGTTGAATCTCATCCGTTGGCTGATGAGTTCAATCTTGACCGTTGCTTGATCTACTTGCTTTATTCCACTTGTTTGAGGTAACATGGTTGGTCTTTGTCTTCTTGTGACACAGATCAATTATCATTACACAACTTGATTCCTTATTTCTAGGCAAGGATAAAGATTGATATATCTTTATTTCTTTAGCAAGTATTTAATCCGAGTTTGTTCAATGCTTCCTTACAATAAAATTACTTGCTTTTAGTAAAATAAATTTATAAGAAATTTTCATAAGGTGGTAAAAATTTCTTATAAAATTATTTTAATCTTTTTATCATTTTGACTGCAAACTAGTCTTTTGTTAATTTTTTTTGTGCTTAAGAGGAGATAGTAGATTTCGATGGAGTCAGCTGTAAAGTGGAGTTGGGAGCCGGCTGCTTAGAATCAGCAGGCTGCTGATTCTACTCTCTTCAGATGGCTGCCGAATAACTAAAAGGGTTTCAATTGACTCTTTTCGTACATTTTTTGTTTCTTTTCTTTTTGTTTAATGGTACGTTTCTTCTATTTTTAGTACTCTTTGTTTTTCTTGAGCACTTTATCACTAAATAGAAGCACTTTACAATAAACAAAGTAGAACAGAACAGTGATCTAGTCTAATATAGGAATAAAATAAAAAGGGTGGCATCATCAAAACAATATTTATTGATCATCAAAATCTAGGGGACCTAACAATTATATTTGTCATGAACCTTATTTCTACTATTAATTTAATTTAATATTCAATATTTGTTATACAATATAGTAGAAATATTTGAAGACATACTCATCAAGTTCACTTTTATCTTTTATTTCTTATCAATATTTGATTTATATTCAATAGTTTTTCATTATAATGGAGATTTCAATTTTTTTGGGAAAACAACATTCAATAGTAATACAAAATATATGATAAATATTTCTAACTTAGTCAGATTTTATAGATTGGGGTATCTCTTATAATTTGAATGGATGAGTTACTAAATTAATATAAAAAATATGTTTATATTCATATGCTTTTATTTGAATATACAAAGCTTCAAAAATATGAATGTAAACACACCTCTTCTATAATAATTGAGTATCTCATCGTTCAAATGAATTTATAAAATTTGAAAAAGTTAAAAATATTTATCATATAATTTGTATTAATATTTAATGCAAAAATACAAAGTCTACTTTGAAATTTATATTATAATGAAAAAATTGAATATAAATAAAATATTATTAAGAAATACGTAGTAAAAGATAAAAGAAAATTTGATGAGTATGTGTTCAAATATTTCTGCTATATTTTATGAAAAATATTGAATACTAGCTTAGATTTTTAGTGGGAATAAGTTTAAGGTCAAATATAATAATATTTTTAATTCTTATATATATATATATATATATATATATATATATATATATTGGCTTCATTATACTTAAATGTAAAGAAATTAATAGAAAAGTTAACACTATTAACCCCAACTTATTTTGTAAAATAATTCATCAGTTGGAATTATTATCATCAACAATTCACTAGTGATTATATTTGCTACAAAAAGCTCTACCACACATATCTCATATCGTATGTAGCAATGAGTGTAATAGTTGTGTAATGAGTATCATATTTACTCATTGGCTTATGTAATAAAACAATGGATCATGCATAATGAGACTGAGTTTGCGGGTCATACTCTCAATTTTAAGTTATCTGCTAAAAATAAGTTTGGATGCTTACACTTAATTTATTCTTGTAGAACTTTGCATTACTAGATGAGTTGCATTTGTTTCTCTTATTTTTTATAATTAATTCGTATTATTTTATGTAATCATATTGTTGACCTTTTACGATATCTAGATTTATGGAAATCAATGTAATTCATTCATATAAAACTAGTAAATTCAAAGTATGGGTTCTTTAAAAGTCCACGAATTAAAAAGATTCACCACAATCTATATACAATCCAACCCTTAATTTCCTTTTGCTAACCTTATCTAACTTTCCTGATTGAGATCCCATCAGATATGCATAGAATCCATTTGAAATGTGGTTGACTACTTGACTACAAGCTCCAGTCTTGAAGAGAGCCTTGGACTATGCAAGTTGTTTGCTTTAGACCATTTTCAAACTAGAGGATGAAAAGGCTAGATTTGATCTATTCACCCAAAAATTCCATACGACCTTTGTATTGGAAGAGTGTGAGACTAATGATACACAAAATTGTTACGAGTATTTTGGGGAAAAAATTTAAACATCCCAAACTTTAATAAGCTAAGGTTTGAGATACCCCCAAATTTAATAAACTTGAACTTTATATAAAAAAATATTTTGAACACCATGATCGTATGTCCTTTTACAACACCAATTTATTAGAATATTTTGGACAGGTAACACCTGCACGAGTAGCTCAGTTGGTCGAATGGTGGGAAAATTGGACCAAGTGACCAAAGTTCGAAACCCGCAACGTCCGTGTGGAGATTACAGAACTTGAAACAAGGCTGGACCTTTGGTGCGCACGTGTACAAGGCTTACCGCCGTTTTACTGACTGAGTCATCGTGATTAACCTCCCCACCATACTGTTGGGTCGGGTGTGGGGCTCCTGGGGTTGGAGATTCCACCTTTTGGACCAAGCCAGTACAGGTAGCGGAATAGGACGGCCAGGACAGGTAGCGCTATGATGATGCCCAACACGCCTTCAGCCTGGATGACCTCCTTTAATACTACGTAATATACTTTTATGTCATACTACCTCCGTCCCACTATGATTGTCCTATTTTACCTTATCGGTTCGTCCCATTAAGATTGTCTCATACCAAATTTGGTAAAGTTTGTGTGGCTTTAAATCATTTTTATTTTATTCTTACTTTATCAATTCAATATCAACCACATAAATCACTTTTTATTAATTTGCATGCTACTCTCTCTTGTCCCATTGTTAGCGAGACAGAGGGAGTAATATTTTTACGTTAAAACTCTTATTGTTAATTCTTTAGATTTGGTGTATTTATTTCACACCCTTTCAAAGTTTGTAATATTTAAATTATTTTTCCTTTCATTTGTATACAGTGCTTATACCGTGGAACCGATGCATGGTGAGCACCATGCACCCTTTGTTATTTTTTATTTCTCCTTTTCTTAAAATTATTAATAATTTTTTTATTTTTGATCCGATTTTTATAAGATTTATATCAATTTTTTTTTATTTTTCATATCTTTCAAATGAGACCAATATTGCCTGTGTAATTTTAATTTTTTACATTCATACATTTTTTTGTAATATATTTGTATATGCATACACTTTTTCTATAATATGTTTTTTATCACTTTTATATGTTTTTAGAGGTTTTTAAGATATTGAGTTTGTTTATTTTGCTTCTAGCTTGGAGTTACATTTGATAATATACGAAGTTACATCATCCTATACTCCAGTTACAAGTTATTATGTGTGAGTTACATCTTGTTATGTGTGAGTTACATCTTGCTATACACGAGTTACATACTTTTATGCGTGAGTTACATGTAATTATGTGTGAGTTACATGTTGTTATGTGTGAGTTACATCTTGTTATACACGAGTTACATGTAATTATGTGTGAGTTATATCTAATTATTTATGATTTTTTACTTATCTTTATCTTGAACTAATTCAATTATAACTGAATTAATTTTTTTCTTGCCAATTTAATACAAAATTTTATTAATCCACATAAAATAAGTATATTGTATTTCATATTCATACACTATTTTTCAAATGATAAAAATGAAAGATGTAGCAGGAGTTTATTTCATGGTGTAACTCACATACATTAAGATGTAACTCGCGTATATCAAGATGTAATTCGCGTACAATAAGATGTAACTCGCGCAGAAGAAGATGTAACTTCATGATATATTATCAAATGTAACTTCAAAATAATTTGTTAAAATTACATAAGCAATATTGGTCTCATTTGATAGATCATGAAAAATAATGAATGTTGCGCCGTTTTGGGATGAGATGCACCATCCTCATGCTCGGCCAATCCCAGGATAGAGGATATAAATTGCCATTTGCATGCCATATTGTGGGGTTTATCCAGCGTTGACTGGATTGACCTGCGACCCAATTATTTGAGCGGGTCGCTTCCTATAGAACACAGCATAAAACCGTACTCCGTATTATACGCCAATTATAATTTGGAGCGCGTAAACTTGAAATTACTGCCTTATCTTTGCCAAACGAAACGCATCCCCATCACTACATGCTTCGGGAAAAAAAGAGAAACAATTTTGCCCCTTCCACCAGAAACCCCTTCAATCCAGATTCCTGGATCAGCTTCCTATCTTACCAAACGATACATGTTTCATACAAATCAGCATACTCAGCAAAATAACCATTACCAAATGGCCCCTCAGAATTTAAGATTTGCTGTTGAAGTTATCAATAATTCCCGTATCATTTCACTAGCAGCCTGTTCTATGACGAAGTATTTTTCTTTTCTTGTGATTGTCAATCTGAGCACAAAAATCTGTATTAATTCTGATGATATTAATTTCTTCACCCTCTGCCATTCTGGATGAATCTTGAGTCCAACTCAAATTTTCTTCTGTCTTCACATATTTTGCATGATTTTATACTGTTAATTAATTTTAGACAATGTATTGACAATACAAGTTTTTGCAACCGCCCCTAATATAGTTAGATTTAAGGTGAAGCTTGTGATGATGTGGCTGGTTGGGTACAATTTATGTGTATTTCTTGATTAGCACTGTTTAGTTAAGTTTAATGAACTTTCTTCTGTTCCTCTCTCTCTTTACTTTTATGATATTTGATTCATGCTATTGCAGTAAAGAAGTTGTTGATGCATCTACAAAAGTTTATGTTGGAGGCATCCCATACTACTTCAATAAGGATGATATTAGAAGTTTCTTCGGAGGGTATGGGACCATTACTGAAATTGATTCTATGATATTCCCGGACACTGGAAAGTTCAGAGGCATTGCAATAATCAATTTTAAGGCAAGTTTTGTGTATTTCTTTGTTATTATTATGAACCAGTTTAACTATTAGGCTTTGTTTGGATCTCAAAAAACGGAAAGAAAAGGGGAAAGTACTTTGGAAGATAAATTTGTTAGTTTGTTTTACAATTTTACCTTGGGAAATTCAAAGAAAAACCAATCTGATAAGAACTTTCTAGGATTCTATGCGTGTGTGTAAGAGAGAGATTTCTTAGTCTTTATATATTAGAAATATAAAAAATGGGTTTGAACATACATCTTCAATTACTTTATTGAGTTTGGACAAATATCTACAATGACATTATTGAGTTTGAACCTACATTTTGTTGTCTTTCTTTCCAATTTCCCTTTCATTTCCCTCAGTTTATATTTTCCTAGCGTTTTCCTAGATACAGACAGACCCTTAATCATTATATGGATTTGAGTCTATCTAAAAGCAAACACGCCCCCCACTACCACACTTTCCAGATTAGAAATCAAAACAATTCATTTTCATTTTCATTTTCATTTACCCCAGTGCCGCAAAACAATTCTGAGAAAAAAATAGTTCTCCACAAAGCACAAATCAGGTGGTGAAATCAAATTTCATACTTATGTGAGCTAAACCACATTGAATAAGCTAGTGGTTTGCAGTTTATCTTTTTATTTTATAAACATTCTAGGAAAACACCTTATATTTTTGTGGACTGTGATGATGGTGAACTTCTATGGAAAAGTTATTGTGTTAATTTATTTTATTGAAAGCGCACATATGAGTTTTCAGTGAGTAGGGTAAATGTTTCCAGTAGGCTCATTATGCTTAACTGAAGGGAGGCTAAAGGAAACTTAAACAAAGCCCATCACAGTGACTTTGTGCTGTTTAGCTGCAAAAATACTTCGTACGCGACATATTCAACCGGATATGCGAGGATTGTTATGTCATGACACTTAAGTATATTTGTTAAGTATATTTGTTACGTTGACTTGTAGAAGAGTTACCATAGAGCAAAAACCAATCTGATATCAGGCTGCAATTTTCTTGCCCTTTGAATCTTTAGAGCTATTTCTTTTGCTGTTAGAAACCACAAACAATGAGTTTCCAGTGAGATATCTAAATTTTTGTTGTCACATGATTGCCAATTTTCTTATTTTATGCCCCACATTGAAGAAGGTTTTTTAATTCTCCGGGAATTAGTTGGAATTGTAAAAAGGAACTAATTTTTGTCCAAAACACCAGTTTAACATATTGTCTGAACTCTGAAATATGTGGGACAGTAGCTTCCTATCACGTACTCAACCAAAATGCGTAGTTATAATTTTATAAGTACGGAGCATATAAAATAAAAAGATGAAGTCCTTTTCTTGGAGGGGTAAATAAATGCCTCTTATCTTTCCCAGTAAGTAGTCGTTGGTTCAATTACATTCACCTCCCCACAAGATGTGGTCAAATGACCAAGTAACCCTTGTGTTTTCTGGAACCAACAAGTTAAGCTTCTAACCGGCTAAATTTTCTACAAATGGTCGTTATTTTTGTTTGATAACAACTCCTGTCAAACATCTAATAACCAAACGTATTATTTCCAGACAGATGCAGCTGCGAAAAGAGCCTTTGGCCTTGACGGATCGGACATGTACGTCACCTATTAGCTCAATAACTACTTCCTACCCATCCTACTCTGTCATGAGTCATCACTATGACCATCTACCTCTTGCAGGGGTGGGCTATTCCTGAAAGTCCAAGCATACAACACATTTAGATCAAAAAACAAAGTTTCTACCTTCTCTTCGGCAGCTGTGGATGGTTACAACAGGATTTATATATGAAATTTGTCATGGGAGATAACCAAGGACGATTTAAGGAACCTTTTTTCTGGTTGCCAAATAGCATCCATCCGGTTCGCAGAAGATAAGGAAACAGGGTTATTGGAAGGATATGCCCATGTCGATTTTGCAGATAAGTTTTCTTTAGAAACAGCATTAAGGCTAGATCAGAAAATTGTTTGTGGAAGACCTGTTAGGATAAGTTGTACTGTCCCAAAGAAGGGAGGGGCACTGACCAAATCAAGAACTATCGATGTCAATAATACTCAAGTAGAGAGTTTTGACAATTTAATTGTCGTCTCACAAGATAATACGGCAGGCCCTTCACAAGAGAATAATCACATCAATTTCCCGACAAGCAATCAGGTGGAGAATGTTGACACGGGGCCAATCAGTGCAAAGATTAGAAGGAGAACATGTTATCAATGTGGGGAGCGTGGACATGTTTCGTCTTCTTGTCCCAAGAAACAAGCAGCAGAACAAGGAAATCAATTTGCATTGACCAAATCAAGATCTACTGAAATTAATACTCAAGCCAAGAGTGCTGACGACTCAAAAGCAAGTCTACCAGTAGTGTGTAATCATGTTGTCTTCCCGCCAAACAATGCGGTGAAAAAGGTTGAAATGGGCTCATTCAGGGCAAAGAGAAGGAGGCGGATATGTTATGTATGCCGTGAGCATGGGCATGAATCTTCTTCTTGTCCCATGAAACAAGCTGCTGAACAAGGAACTCAAGTTGGAGTGACCAAATCAATATTCAGTGAAATTTACTGTCAAGATGCAGTGACCAAATCAATATCTACAGAAATGAGCACTCAATCAAAGAGTTTTGACGACTCAAATTTCACGCGACTAAACAATGCACAAGTCAGTAATCAGCTTGATGCAGTGCCAAACGCTGCAGTGGAGATTTGCAAAGTCCGTGCAAAGATACGGAGGCGGAAATGTTTTGAATGTGGAGAGCGTGGGCATGTTTCGTCTTCTTGTCCCAAGAAACAAGCAATGGAACAAGGAAATCAATTGGTATTGACCAAATCAAGATCTACTGAAATTAACAGTCAAGCAAAGAGTGTCAACGATTCAAATGCAATGTTATCGCATTATTATAAAGCAGGTCTACCAGAAGTGTATAATCACGTTGTCTTCCTGCCAAACAATGCGGTGGAAAGGTGGCGATTCAGGACGAAGAGAAGGTGGCGGATATGTTACGTATGTCGTGAGCGTGGGCATGAGTCTTCTTCTTGTTCCATGAAACAAGCTGCTGAACAAGGAAATCAAGTTGGAGTGACCAAATCATTATTCAGTGAAATTAACAGTCAAGTTGCAGAGACCAAATCAAGATCTACTGAAATGAGCACTCAATCAATGAGTTCTGATGACTCGAATTTCACACGACTAAACAATGTACAAGTAAGTAAACAGCTTGATGCACTGCCAAGCACTCCAGTACAGATTGGCCAACTCAGTGCAAAGAAACGACGGCGAACATGTTTCGAATGTGGAGAGTGTGGACATGTTTCGTCTTCTTGTCCCAAGAAACAAGCAACGGAACAAGGAAATCAATTTGCATTTACCAAATCAAGATCTACTGAAATTAACACTCAAGAAAAGAGTGTCGACGACTCATATGCAATATTATCGCATTATTTTAAAGCAAGGCTACCAGTAGTATATACTCATGTTGTCTTCCCGCCTAACAATGTGGTGGAAAATGTTGAAATGGGCCCATTCAGGGCAAAGAGAAGGAGGCGGATATGTTATGTACATAGTATGTCGTGAGCATGGGCATGAATCTTCTTCTTGTCCTATGAAACAAGCCGCTGAACAAGGAAATCAAGTTGGAGTGACCAAATCAGTATTCAGTGAAATTACCGGTGAAGTTGCAGTGACCAAATTAAGATCTACTGAAATGAACACTCAATCAAAGTGTTTTGATGACTCAAATTTCACACGAATAAAGAATGTACATGTAAGTAATCAGCTTGATGCACTGCCAAGCGCTCCAGTGCAAATTGGCCAAATCAGTGCAAAAATGCGGCGGCGAACATGTTTCGAATGTGGAGAGCGTGGACATGTTTCGTCTTCTTGTCCCAAGAAACAAGCAACGGAACAAGGAAATCAATTTGCATTGACCAAATCAAGATCTACTGAAATTAACACTCAAGAAGAGAGTGTCGACGACTCAAATGGAATGTTATCGCATTATTTTAAAGCAAGGCTACCAGTAGTATATACTCATGTTGTCTTCCCACCAAACAATGTAGTGGAAAATGTTGAAATGGGCCCATTCAGGGCAAAGAGAAGGAGGCGAATATGTTATGTATGTCGTGAGCATGGGCATGAATCTTCTTCTTGTCCCATGAAACAAGCTGCTGAACAAGGAAATCAAGTTGGAGTAACCAAATCAGTATTCAGTGAAATTACCGGTGAAGTTGCAGTGACCAAATCAAGATCTACTGCAATGAGCACTCAATCAAAGAGTTTTGATGACTCAGATTTTGCACGACTAGAGAATGTACATGTAAGTAATCAGCTTGATGCACTGCCAAGCGCTCCAGTGCAGATGGGCCAACTTAGTGCAAAGATACGGCGGCGAACATGTTACGAATGTGGAGAACGTGGGCATCTCTCCTCATTTTGTGTCAAGAAACAAGCTGCTACAGAACAAGGAAATCAAGTCGCAAGCTGATTTTGAAGAAGATTCAGTAAAATTTGATTTTCTATTTATGTATATGACCTTCATTTAGTGAGTGTTCAGTGGGGTATGTCCTCTGTGTATATGGACAAACATGTTGGTAATACTTTTTGGTCCATAAGTTTATACTTTCAAACTTGAATTAAAAAAAAAGGACGACAGCCCATGACAACCCATCCCTGAGCCCCCAACACCGATCGGACAGCTAGACCATTATTGAATTAAAGTAGTACCACTGGCCATTATTGAAAACATATTTTCTTTTGGTGTGTCTGATAAAAAACTTCAATTTAATTTTAGGAAAATTCTACTTTACCTCTAATGTTTTTGAATGTACGGTACCTTAGCCTAGCTGGACAAATAATAATATGACACATGGATGTTTTAAACAGACACGACATCTAATTTAATTTATAATTTGTAATTTAATCTATTTCCATTGCAGCCCTGCTTATAGGCTGCTGTGCTTTTTGTGTGCCAAGATATTAGTATTTAGTAGCAAACTAGCAATGAATCACACGAAAAATGAAAGTTTTTGTTACTACATATTGGGTGGAGTGTTTTTTTGTGCCAAGAAATTAGCTGCTGGCTTGCTGGTTTCAGACACTCTATTTGACAGTGAATCTTATTGATCAGATTATCTGAAAACCGAGAACTTCATTGAGAAGCGAAAACTTCATCTCAAACAAAAATATTGCCAACTAAATTATCTCCAAGTTCTGCTAAAGGATCAAAGTTCACGATTCAGTGCCAGGATCATCATCACCCTTACAACTAACCAAACTAAGAAGCACCATAGGATCCAACAGTTCAACAATTGCATTTGCAAGTTTCTATGACAGTGGGGGATCCTCTGACAGCATAGCAATTAGCGATTGATTAGCCTAAGATATTTCACCAACTAATGGATATGGCTGTTTTTCATGATTATAAAACTAGTTTTGCCGATGATGATTGGAACAATATTGATGATTCTGAATATTTATGTTTGTTCTTTACTTGGTTTGGCGTTAGAATGGAATTACTGGATTTTAGAGCTGAGTTTTATCGCAGGCAGTTTGTCTTGGGATGCTAGATTGATGATAACTGGTGTTTTATCTGCTGCTAAGCTACGATGCTAACATGTTTTACTTTCAGCTTGTTCTTTTAATCGTTTTGATTAGCCTTCTCTTGCGGTGAAGCCATAAGTTTAACCTATAGCCCTTTTTTGTTTTTTGTTTTTATTGTATCCCGAAGGATATGTAAACACTTAGTTTATTATAAGCTTTTGAACTGTCAGCAATATCTTAAAGTATACTTTTCGTTTTTTAAAATCTACAACCATCTTCATACAGAGTACATTTGACATTTCTAATTAAAACTCTACAACATGAGAGACATATGACAAAAACATGAGCTACTCACTGCATATAATATTTCTAATACTTCCTCTATGACAGATTTATAAAATACTATGGAATAATATCTCAGTTTAAATAAATCCCGCAGATTGGAACTTTCATAACTCAATGACTTCAGTCATATGAAATGATTATAAATACTCGAAACAAACTCAAAGTTGATCGCAATGTTAAATCTTTCTGTGAATGCGAAGAGCTTGAGTTGTCTGTAGCTGCAATTCTATTTTGTCTCTCCAACTGTTATTCTTCCAAGTGTTTAAGATCTGCCTCTTCCTGTTACAAAGGTCAATCAGCCTTGCATAATGGTTACAGTGGGAGACAAAATCAAAGAACAAGAAAATGTAATTCCAGAAAAAGCATGTTCCCCTCAATTGTATACTCCCTCCGGTTCTTATTAAAGTTCTCACTTTCCTTTTTGGGATGTCCCGTATTTAAGTTCACACTTCCATTTTAGGAAACAAAATAGTGCAAAACAGTGTCAAACAGTGTCAAACAGTGCCAAACAGTGCACTCCACAGTAAAGTCAAATTCATTTTCTTAATATGTGTGAAGTCAAACTAAGAACTTAAATAAGAACCGGAGGAAGTATTAAATAGTATACCTTCTCTTTTTTCTTTTTGGGGCGGATGGTGTGTGAGAACACTCTTAGGATCCATTTACTCCGGACAGCGCTTTCAGACCCTCGCATGGTAAAACTTCACCGTCGTCCCCAAATTTAATCTGGTAGTATCCCTCCATCACCTGCGTTCGTCTCTATGAAAATAACGGTCTACGCCGTTAAAATAGAAATCGTTAGACTATTGCGTATATGCTTTAAACATCCGCATGTTGTAGTATTACTTGTCCAAGCGGGCAAATGTTCCGTACCTTTGAAATTTAAAGATGGGGAAAAGGTGTAGATATACCCTTCTAATATGGTTGTAGGAACAAATATATCTCTGAAGTTTACTTGGATGTGCATATATAACTCTGAAGTCTGAACTTTTAAAAGTTGCAAAAATGCCCCTCATGTTCCTATAAAGAAGCAAATTTACCTTTATTGATTTAAATAAATAGAATAAATTTTAAAATCACTAAAAATAAATTATAAATTCGAAATTGAAAAATAAAAAAAAATTAAATAGTTCAAAATAAGGATTTATTTTTATGTTAAAATATTAAATCTTTAATTTTAAATTGCAAAATTATTAATTTTCCATTGTAAATGAAGCACTTAAAATTCAAAAATATTAATTTTAGTCTTGTTGCGAAATTTTAAACATATTGTTACATTTTTTGAAATAACATTCTTTGATTTTGATTCAACTTAATAAAATTAGATTCACTATTTTGTTATCTTGGACTATTTATCATCATACAAAATATGTTATTTATAGTGCAAAGAATACCAAAAATTAACACTTTTTTTGAAAGAATCTTAAATACTAGTATATAGTAAAGTCTTGAAAAAATATTTTATACTAATAATATTAAATTTTGATATAAAAATAATAAAAGGGAGAATTGGACAAAATAGATTTTTTTATTTTATTTTTCAGTTTCAAATTTATAATTTACTTTTGGTGTTTTTTTTCAATTTATTTTATCCATTTAAAGTCAATAAGGGTAAATTTGCTCATTTATAGGAACATGTGGGGTATTTTTGCATCTTTTCAAAGTTCATGGATATTTATGCATTTTCACGTAAACTTCGGGGTATATTTGTTCCAAAAAATATAGAGTTATCTATACTTTTTCCCTTTAGAGATGCACCGTAGAAAGAGTCTTTTTTATAGTAATGATTATGCAGTTCATATTATATTATTATGTCAGTTGAATCATTATAAATCACAATTTCTACTTTTGTATTATAAATGCAAGTCAAAATAAGAGAACAATATGAATTCAAAATAGGAGATGGTGGAATATTATTTTGTGGAAATAATCATTCTTAATGATTTTAAATAGATTTTATAAATTTATGTGGATATGTAAAAATTATTAATGAATTAGAAGCTGTCCGTAATAGAAGAAAAAATATAAAATTTCAAAAAAGAATACTATTTTATTTTCGCCTAAACAGGAGTAGTTATTGACACTCTTGAAAAAATAATGTTAACTATGCTATTGATTAAGAAAAAGATTTACTATGGTAGAATGATTTAAGGATTACAATAATTTACTCCCATTTAGAGAAAATCATATTATACTTCTATCTTGGAATTTCACATTGTTTTTATTCCTATTATGGGTGATGGAGTATATGGCCCGGGAACCCCCAGCCCACAGACTCCTACTACTCCAGCGAAGGCCCAACAGGCCCAAATCACAGCGCCCAGAGTACCAAGCAGCCCGCACTACGCGCCAGGGGTGCCTTCGGCCCCCTGACCGAAGGCTCTAAATTCTCACAGAACGGGTTTCTCAAGCAAACTAAGAAACTGGGAGAAAACGGCGAAAACAGTAGCCCTCGGCACTACGAGCCCTCGGCACCAGGGTGCCATCGGGTGGAAGAGCCCTCGGCTACTGCTCTATAGCCGAAGGCACCTCACTCGACAAGATATCCGCCTCACATGCGTACAGATCACCGTACCCCGCACAGACGTCCCATCCAACAGCCACATTAAATGCGGCCACATGCGGCTGCCAGCGCCAACCATTTGAGGTGACCCCTCGGCCAATGAGCGCTTGACACGTGTCCCTGCCCGGCATTTATTGCTACTATAAATAGCACCCCTTTTCCCCATTTGTAACCAAGTGATAACACACTGAATATACTCTCTCTCTACTTTTATTTACTTGCTCTGACTTCTCTCTAAATTACTCCCCGTAATAACCCTTCGGATATATACCCCCGGGTAGACAATCCATCATTTGGTGCTCTCGTTGAGAGCTTGAACAATCAAGTAAGAAACCCTCCCCCTCGACCAAACACAAAGCACTAGCCCTCTATCAAAATGGTGAGGACAACACGTGCCAACTCAAAGAACGTAGAAGACAAGAACCTGGCCCTCGGCGACGTCAACGCCCCCGAAGCCTCTCACAGGGCTCCCGAGGGCGGTGTCATCGCTGGGCTGGAACAGGCGGCTGTCGACCTACGCCTTCAGATCCAACAAAATGCCCCCGATGCCCGCCTCGGCATCGAGGCCAAGAAGAAAAACCGGAGCGATGACCAAGTCAGCCCTCCGGTTCTCACCATCGACGTACAATCGGCGCTCTCCGCCTTCATCCAGACGCTCACCCAAAACCCGGGTGCCTTCGGCACCCTGGCTCCAGCTCACCCTCAGATCGGGGAAAATATCATACTTCCCCCTCTGCCACACCCCTTCGGAAATCCCACCCCTCGGGTGAGAAACGACGAAGGGGTGGTGGCCCAAGAAACATCCTCCCAGGAAGTTCAGTCCCGGGACCGCCATAATGACAACAGGGAGAGGCCCCATACTTCCGCCCTCAACCGGCTCGGAGGAGGGCCAGACCGCCGAGGGGTCCAAGACCGCCTCGGGGGGAAAGCACTCCAAAGGCCCCAGGAAAGCGGGGGATCTGTTTCGAGGGCAGACGAGGAGCGTCCCCCTCGGGACAAAGGCAAGGCACCCCTTCATGCCGATGATGCTCGGCACCAAATCAACCAGGCCCACTCGGCCCGGGTTCGTTCGCAGGGGGCGGAGACCCTCCCGAGGGACCCCCGGGACGAGATTATTGCGGCCCTCCAACGCCGGCTTGACGAGATGGAGTCCAACAAAGCTCACGCCACCACCTCCACCCCTCATTCAGATCTCAAATACGAGGCCATGATGGCCAAAATGGAGGAGTTACAGAAGAAGGTGGCCGAGGGCTCCGGGGAACCCGTCATCCAGCTCCGGACTCGGACGCCATTTACCCCAAGGGTATTGGCGGCCCGGATCCCGGAAAAATACCGAGGGCAACATATACAGCCCTACAACGGAAAAACGGACCCCCAGGAACACTACAGCAAATACCAGAACAGCATGATGATGGTGGGGGCGTCAGACGAATATTTGTGTCGTTGGTTCCTCTCCACCTTAGAGGGGCCGGCATACGAATGGTTCAACAGACTGCCCGAGGGCTGCATTGATTCGTGGCAAGAACTCGCCCAACGATTCTTGACACAATTCGCCGGAAGGCGTCGCACAAGGAAGCACTTCTCCCACCTCCTAACAATACGCCAGAAGAAGGATGAGACCCTTCGGGATTTCCTGGAGCGCTGGAGGACGGAGGCCGACAAAGTCGACGGCGCTGATGACGGGACCCTCCTGGCCCTCCTACAAACCGTCCTCCGCACCGGCAACTTTTCAAGGAGCCTCATCATTGAACCCCCCCGCGATTACATAAGGGCCTTGCAGCGGGGGGACCGGTATGCTGAGGCCGAGGAGGTGGAGAAGTATCACCAGCATCCGGACCAGCAGCCCCCGAGGGCTGACAACAAGCATAACCGAGGGCCGGGGGCTCCTCCAAATCGCCCCAAGGCTTCGGGACCCTCTGATGACCGCCCTCGGCAAGGCCAAGCCAAGCCCGGGGGAGGTTATAGGAGCAACCCTAAGACTTGGGCCTAGCCCATTCTCCTGGACCGCCCTCGGACACCATTGACGCACCCCGTCAGCATCATCCTCGATTTTGCCGAGGAGAGGGGCCTCGTTGAGCGCGACTCTCGCGCACCCCCGGAGGTGCATGCTATCAACCCCCAGTTCCCATACTGTCGCTTCCATCGACACCAGGGGCACAGGACCGATGACTGCCATCAGCTGAAGACGGCCATCGAGAGGTTAATACAAGCAGGGCACCTGTCCCAATTTGTCCAGAGCCCTCGGCAGGAGGGACCTTCTCATCAGGGACCTCCCCGAGGGCACCATACGAAGGTAAATGCCTGGGTAAATCCGAACACCA